AGAACTCCTGAAATGGTGCTTAGTTCGATGAAGCCAAAAACTGTGAATATCACTAATTCATTAACTTGTGTATCTGAACAAGATATCAACAGTAGAGGAGGGATATCACAGAAGAAGTGATTAATTTCATTTGACCCACAGAAACACAAACGGAAAGCTAAGGTAGTGTGTGTCAAAGCATCAATCATACCAACCAAGTAAACCCCTGCCATGAGCCTACAGCACACTTTGTTGGACATATTGACTGCATAGAGGAGGGGATTGCTAATGGCTTTGTACCTATCAAAGGCCATCACTGCCAGCAGGAGACACTCAGAGTCTGTAAAGATGCAGAAGGTGAAGAATTGCATAGCACAACCAATGAAGGGAATTGATTTCTTCCTGGCAAAGAAGTCCACCAGCATCTTAGGTCCAACCGCTGTGGAATAGCAGAGGTCAGCTAAAGCCAGATGGCTGAGGAAAAAGTACATGGGTGTTTGAAGCTGGGAATCCATTCTAATTAAAATGATCATTCCAAAATTTGCTACAAAGCTAATGAGGTACACAATCAGCAGTGTAGTAAATATGGTTGCCTTGATATCAGGGTTATTAGTAATTCCCAAGAGGTGGAAGTCAGTCAAGGAGGAACAATTTTCTTCATCCATTCTTTGTTGGTGATCTAAACTGTTAAAATACATGATCAAGAAAATCAATTTTAATTCTGTGGCACATCCACAAATTATTATGTATAAAATAGAACATTTTCCATCTTAGATTGTCTTCTTTATTCTCAGTCACTATGCCAGATAAATGTTATGTTAAAGAAGCATATTCTGTTACTGAAAACACAAACAATACACAAAAAATTTCAGTACTAGGAAATTTGGACTCTTTGATTCTAAATCATTCATGATATCTGTAATTTTTATTGACTTCTACTATCTTTCCTCAGACAATAGATATGAATGAACCTAAAGCTCAATCCAGGTTCAAAATAACATTAATACACAAAGAAGTTAGAGAGACAAAGAAGATACATGCTTAAACATCTGACATGTGTAAATTAAGTACGCTACAATACATGAACATGCAAATAAAAAAAGTGATTATATTTATTGTATTCATCCAAAAAAAAAAAGAATTGTGTTTAAATATTCAATGAAAAGGAATGAAATTGAATATAAATTAACAAACTAAAATTATTGTGTTATTGTTTAGGTTTAAGTGAATGCAAAACAGGAATGAAGCATTTTTCATACAACTTTATATCAGCTCTTCTTTGTCAAGCACCCTGTTGTGGTGATTTAT